AAGAATGCTGGCAGTTGTGCAAAAATGGGGGGAAAAAAAGGAGTTGTTGAAAGATTGTACTGAAGCTCCTCTTGCTGCAGCAGAGGTGACAGATGCTGGAGGCCTCTCACTTCTGACACTGTAGCTGTGCCATGTTCTTTCTTTACCAGCATTTCTTGAAAATTAGGAAAGAGGAGTTTGGAACTCATTTTCTTCCAATAAGCAGTGTTTGTTTTGAAATTGGTGTTTTTCACACAGTGAGACAGGCACAGTAGAAGGAGCTTGGCAACCGACGTTGCCTTTCTAAATAAAATAAATCATAGTGCTGCATATGTGGAAATAAAGGCTTTGAGAACTGTTATGAAGGCAGTGCATGTAACTGGTAAAACATGTGTACTCCCTTTGCTCTGTGGTACTTGGGAAGACACATTTGCAACATCAATGAAATAAAAACTGGTGCAGTAAAACGCCCTTGACAGGAATGCTTGGCTTGGGTAGCAAAGTGCTGGAAGTTCATGTCCTGACCCAGGGCCTGGTGCCCACGCTCTCCTCTTCCCTGGCAAGAACAGGGTGGGACAGCCTGGCTGGTGCCACCTCCTGGGCTGCCCCTGAGGAGATGTGCAGGATCCTACACCAAGGGGTACCTCAGAGAATGTGCACAAGCAAGCGGGATGTGCATTTTAATATTACTGGTCCCATTAGCAATATTGAGATGTTTCTGCACACAATGAACACCATGGACATTAGTTTGATTTTTGGGGTCCTTGCAGGGAATGTGCATTGCCAGTGTGCCCCTTCATGCCCTTTTCATGCTACAGTTCCTCAGTTTAGATTGGTAATAACATCTCAGTGTTCTTTTAAAAGTGTTTCTGACCCTTCTGCTCAAAGGCACACAGGAGGCTGAAGCCAACCAGCCAAAGCAATACTGGGTTGTTTCAAGACAGCCAATGCGTGCCTGAGTGCACAGACAGCCATGACCAACTGAGACCTCTGCTATGCTTTGGTTCTGCTCTGAATCAGCATCAGGATCAAACACTCTGTTTGCTCTGTGCATGCCCCTCTGTGTACTTTATGGTAGTATTTTAGGGACTTTCTGTTTCTGGTAGGCAGTAGCTGATCAATTCTTTGAAAGTAATCAGAGGTGCAGCGACAGTTCCACCAAAACACATTGATCCTTCACGTGTTCTCAAAGATGACCAGAAGCATTTATAAGTGAAATTGTTACTTAGAGAGAAGCATGGCTTAGGACTGGCTCTGTAGGGATCTTAACACAAACACAGCCTTGGGTCTTGCCCTTGTGTGAGTGTCTGCAATGAGAGCCTGAGTAATTTACCCAAGATCCCATAGCAAGATAGCAGATTCCAAACTATGATTCGGGGGTTATCGAACTCTGGTGCAGGATTTCCTCTCCTCCAGTTTTCATTTTTCTTCTGTTCTGCAAATACACAGTATCCCAGCTCTTTGGAACTTTGCTTAAAGGAAGAATGTTAATCAAGACAACCCTTGGGACCTGGTACAGGTGTTTTGAATGTATTAATTCATGAGCAGATTTGTATAAAGAAAATTTTTACATTTAAGAATTCAAGTGCTTAGGTTTAATCTGGTTCTCAGTTGTAGTGTCTTAAAACCACTGAAGATGTGACCTTTAGCTGACCCGTGACTATCCAAATTGACACCAGAAGGAGCTGGAAACTGACTTCATTGTGAAATTAATGGATACCTCTTCTGTGATAGATATGGGGAAACAAATTACAGATTTTAAAACCATCTCTTTGGGAACTGCATCTTAATGATATCAGAATTGAATAAATATATGCATAGTTCCAGGAATCTTCTAATGGAGCCTCTGGGCTTTCATTTTTACATCTGCTTTTCTGTGGTTTTGTAGCTCACCTCATGCACTAGCCATTCAATATATATTTTATATTGCTACAATAGTTTGCACATTTATTTTTTAATGACAAAAGGCTCCCACCCTCTTCACATCTGCGTTGGAAGTATTTGCATAACTGAGGGCCTGCAGTAGTAAGTGAAGGCAGCTCTCTCTAGAGCAATACAGATTGCCAGGCCTGGAACACCAAAGGGAAGCAGTGAGACACTAAAACATTTCCAAATTCAGTCAGTTCTTTGTGGTGGGGGTGAGAGCAGTAATTATAAAAACAAGACAGCTAAATCAAAATGAACTATAAAAAATTACAGTTATTATAATTTGTCGCAATAGAGCAAATATTTACTGGAAAGTTGTGGCAAAATTACCATTAATAAAACACATAAATAGTAAGTAACCTAAGGGAGAGCTGTTTCACACTCTGAGATACAGCTTCAGCAGAAATGATTACTTAAGAAATGTGACTTATAGTATAATGGAATATCCATTGTAACAGTTAAAAAAAAAAACCTTCTCAAAGATTATTTCATTGTTTAACATGTTGACATGTTGGCCCTTTAGTATCTACATTGTCTTGTTCATATAGAATTTTTTTAAAAAAATATTTATGGGGAAAATGGAGTCTGAATGTCAAAGGCTTCTAATCTTTATTGTTAAAGGGCTGAACTTCAGTCAGTTCCATTTATGTTGCTGGAGACATCTGCAGGAAGTGTGAGCCAAGGTATCCACTTACCAATGACCACTGATAACACATGGAAAAGATATTTAGATCCCTAAAGTAACTCAGAGGTGCACAAGGAGTTTTTAGACCTGCACATCTCCCTAATTTTTGAAAGTGGTGAGTTCAGGAAGTGACCAGCGCCTGGTCTGTTATAAAATGGATCCTACTGAAACAAAAGGAGGGAACTAATCCAGAAGACTTAGATAAGGGGAGGGATGTTTGGTGTGAACGCTGGGGCCACTCTAGGCTAGTGGAAAGAGCCCAAGGCTTCAGAGCAGTGTTTGCCATGGCAAACGGGAACCAAGGCTTGAACCTCATCCCAAACCTCTCTGGAAGCTCAGTTGTGCTACCCACAACTGCATGGATCCCTCCTCTGCAGAGATAGCTTTGAAGTGCACATCAAGGCACATCTGTCCTCTAAAGCACTGCTGAAAACCTTGGAAGTCAAACTACTCCTTAAAATGTACTTTTAAGCAAAGTTTGGAAGGTACTACTGCAAGGTAAACAGAGGGTGCAATATGCTTTGTTTAACTTGCTTAGCATTTTAAATCTCTCAATCCTGACATTTCTTTGTAGCATAAAGCTCTCCAGATCAGGTTATATATTATGCATTGTAAAACTCTAGTAGTGAAAACAAACACTGTTTCCAGAGTCATCTGTTTGCAATTTTCCTTGATTACTCTTCCAATAGATTTCAAGCTGTGGATTGAAAGATTTAATGCTCACATGGATAGAATTTGTTCCTGTTCTAATGATATCTTTTAGTTACATTACTCAGTCTTAAGTCAGCCTGCATTTTACTTTTGTCAAGACAAACAATTTTGTTGTCTTCAATCAAATTTTCATGACTGTCCTCAGCAATCTGTCACAGCAGAGTTATTTTTGCCTGGCTGTTCTGACAGCCAGCTCCTAAAAACAGCATCTGAGTACGTGTGAAGGATGTTGGATGGTGCCAGTGGGGGATCAATATAGGGATGACATAAAGGGAAAGGATCTGTAGATGAACTTGGCTTCCAGGCATTACAAGAATCTTGGATGTAGGGAGAATCAGAATCAACAGAATGGTGTCCCCAAAAGCTGGCACAGCAACAAGGAGCCGTTTATTGTAAAGGACAGGGAATGGGATGAGCTCTGCTCTGGGGATGGGAACGGAGGACATGGTCCCTTCCAGCTTTGGTGTCCTCTCAGACTGTCACTGCCAGACCCTCTGTGCCTGTCACAAGGCACAGCCAAGGAGGGGAGGTGCAGGTGGTGATGGAGACCCTGTTCCATGGCACTTCCCCTCTCCTGCTGATGAGTTTACCTGAAGGGCTTTGCTGTGAGCCCTGAGCTCCTTGGAATTCCTTCTGGGAACACAGGGAACCAAACGGGGCTCTCCTGTCCCTCACAGCCCTTTGCTTGGGGGCTGCACTCACATCTCTTTGAGGATAAATACTTAAATTCTTCCAAGGCTCCTTTCTACATAGTTTTCTTTGCTTTTGATCATTTATTGTTTTTATTGCTATGAACAACACAAAACTGAACTTTTAGTACTGGGAATTAGAATGAATGCTATGGAACTCTGACAGAATTATAGCAGATTTGTGCATATATGGTTTTACATTGAATAGAGTAAGAACTGGAACTAATTTGTTGTTACAAAATTAAAAGTACAAATGTCCTCAAAATAATATCCCAGAACAAGGGTGATTCTGAGGATACCTAACTATGCTAACACTACATGTTGAAAGATGAAAGAGCCTTTAATTCTAACTTTTGCAAATAATCCTTTTATGATTTATCAGATTTTAAGAGTTGTTTCTTAATTAAAAACATATATTAGTTGTATATGAGTTTATTTCTATGTATAACTTTTAAAGAGTTGTACTTCCAATTAACTTAACACCTTGTAGTACAAATTAAAAATTAGGTAAAGTGAGTCAATGAGGAATGTTACTGGTGACATTTTCTATAAACATGAAATTAGGTCAAAACTGCCTCATGTTGTTAAGTGTTCCCAGATGGAACAACGATAGTTCAAAGCTAGAATCCAGCACACACAACTTCCAGGTAAATTCTGTGGTTTATAGGTTTATTTGGAAATATCTACAGTTAACTTCTCCCTCTTCTGAGTTTGATACAACATTATTTCTCATTTTCATTCTTTTGCTGTATTCACAATGGACTGATTTTTACATTAACTGGTACATTGGCACCAGAGTTCCAAAACCAAACCCCTTCAATGTGGAATTCATATAGAAAAAAAAAAGGGATTTCTCTTTCCTAAGGAGAAAAAACAACAATAACGTCTTTGCCCTCCACTGAAGGGTTAAATCTGCCTCCATGTCAAAGAAAGAATCCAGCTAGATTTTTTTTTTTTTTTTTTTTGTGATTGTTTAAAATTAAATTAAAGCGTTTGGGACTGAGGAAGGTGTGAATCCATCTTCAAATGCAGCATTTAAATTGAATTCACATGGGGGAAGACAGGAGAATTCCAAACACAGGCTGAGCAGGTCATGTAAAAGCTGAGCTGAGGAGAATCTGGAGGCTTGTTCAGCACTGGGATGTGCTTGGGGCTGGAGCTGAACTCCGTGGACATTGTCCACAAAAAGAACCCTCAGGACAAATAACTTTCGCCTTGTTTGTCCCAGGGTTAGGGGACAGATGAGGGTTACATTTATAGCAAAAGGGACACAAAATTGAAACTTCACTTTTTATGCATAATTACTGGCACAGAATTTGTTCTCCTGTTTTCCTACTCAACTCCCAGACTGTCAGGAGAATTATCAACCTCTCAAAGGCAGCAAGCTGTGGGACCTGTGTGGAGGGATTCAGCAGGGGAAGAAATTTTCAGGTTTTGGTCATAACGGAGCACTAGGAACACTAAGCATTCTTCATAACAAAGCCTGATTCTTTTTTAAAAACCCCAAAACTATACAATGTCTTTTAAAAAAAAGTATGAAAAAATAGTATGTGTAGTGGTTTTATACAATAAATAATCTATTTTCTATAAATGTACAAAATCAGTTACACAGCAAGTAAGAAACTGATACAAATGCAATAACTGAAAGATATATTTAATTTTATAACTGTAATAATTTATTTATGAAATATATCCACATATATATAAAATATATCATATGTTTTGGCAAAGACCTCCCTTTCTTGTTTTGAACAAAAACCATTACCACTGGTTTAAGCCCTATATAGATATTTTTACTGTTGATTTCTTTTCACTTTTCTTTTGGTCTCCATCTTTCTTATTCTAAAATATAATTTAACAACAGGGGGTTATTGTTTAACCTGTGTGCCCTGGGGAAAGTCTGCATGAAGATCAGTAAACAGCCCAAAAAAAATTGTAATGTCACAAGTAAGGGATTTCCTCTCTTTTTAAATAATATAGAACAGGATTTGCAAAAGTTACTCTTTTTCCTTTTCTTACTCTTGCATCCTTGTAGCAAAAAGAAGTCCATAATTTCTGAAGAAATCATTTACACTGAAAAATGTCCAGGGTTGGAGTTAATCCTTATTGCCAAGTTTCTGGGTTATTTGGTGCTGGTGTTTCAATGGAGAGATAAAGGTGGGATTTGTAGCACTGGCAAAGCCCAGAGGGTGTGCTGTGGGTGTGACCTGTAGGGGCCTGGGACAGCAAATGGCCAGCACAGAAATTACTCTGATGGCATCAAGTTCCACAGTCCTAGCCTTGCATCTGTAGGAAAATTCTTTGGGATGAATCACTGAAGTTCTGTTCACCAACTACAGTGCATCCCCAAATAATCACTGTAAGTGTGTTTGAGTGGAACTTCCAAGTGCAGGAATAACTTGTGCCTAAATTAGGTAATCTATTGAATACTCAATGTATACTCTTAACTTGCTATAGTTTATAATAATATTTATATTAGCCATTCATATTTATTCTGCATAGATACTGTCATTTAAACATCTGCCACAAAGTTACAATGTGATGATTCAGGCTTGCATACATTAACAAGAGAAATATTTTGTATCTGTTTATTCTTAATGAGAACTGATGTAGAGGCAATCTCCCTCTAACTCTCCACATTCTCCACTTGCAGCTGCCTGCACAGAGCTGTGGATGGATTCTTCAGACACAGAGCAAGCAGTGAGTGGAACAGTGTCTATTGTACTTGTTTAAATCACAGAGAAAAACGTTTCCTGAAGCTTTGCATTGCTGAAGTTTGGGTCTGCCTTTGAAGTTTTCCTCAATAGTGATACATTCCCTGCCAGGTTACATGATAAAGATTATCCTTTTCTGAGGCTCTCTCGAGGGGAGAAAAGCTTCTTCATCCAGGTTCCCATGCCCTCAGAGGGGCACTGCTGAAATGGAAGTGTTGCCTACTGCTGAATTCTTCACTGGCATCACACTGAAGCATCAAGTTTGTCCATCTCAAGGGAGAGTTGTAGTTTAAGTTCTTGTTTCTGAGCTCCAGCAAATAAATGTTAAAGCTTTAAAGAAAACAAACCAACAAAGGAATACAGCCAAACTGTTGAATATGCAGCACTAAGTCCCTGTTACCTGAGATAATTTTGGCTGCCCTCCTTGGTTATGTGTACACAGAGCAAGCTCTACACAGTTCTCTAATTAGCTCTACTCAAATAATCACAGCAACAAATTCAGCTTGGGGAATTCTAATCCACGTGCTTCCCTTCATAGCAAAAAATTTGGGGTATTGGTGTGACTTTTTTAGAAGTGACAATATTTGAAACTGGCTACTGGGTCACAGTAACCTCCTGATACATGACATCAAAAGCAGATTTACTTTTCCCTCCAGATACTTCTTCCACAAAGTTTTTCCTGTTTCTTTACCTTAACACTTCAGCTTTTACTGGAGCACTGCATAGGGATATGTAGCTTAATTTGCTGCAGTGCTAAATGAGGAAAAACATGATAGACAGGAACAGCCCTTGTCCTAAAAAAAAAAAAAAAAAAAAAAGCCAAAATATGTATTGGCTTATAGCCAAATAATCCAACTTTTGAAGGAGTTTGAAGGAGTTACATCAGCACAAGAAAGGTTGTAGCAGTTCTCAGTATAGTAAAGTTTATTTTAAAAATTAAATTAGGAAAAAAAAAACCAAACAAACAAACTCATGGGCCAAATTCTGTCCTTAATTTTGGAAGGAGTGATAATATCCAGTTGAAAAAAATTAAGGGTTCTGCAAATACAAATAACATTTATGGAAAGTGAGTATTTCTTTTTAACATTAACATACCTGATTGTTCAGAATCCTCCAGACTCTCTGTGCTACTGAACAAAATTGTGTTCTTCTTCCCTGCATTGGTCTTTCTCCTCTGTCTTCTTCATTGATCCCTGATTTCTGTAGAACAGAGATTGCCTAAACTTGTCACTGTGTTCTCATCAATGTCCCCATAGATGAAATGACAATGTCGTGCTCTTTATTAGACTGCATAAAACATTCTAGAACACTGTAATGTTCAGCATGCCCCTAACTGGACAGATCTGCTGTTTCAAAATCACCACATCATAAAAAGAAACAGAAAAAAGAAAATTCCAAGCAGTACTGGCTGGCTCTGGCCTCTTTCCTTCACTTATTAAACACTGATGTGACACAGGAGTTTTCCTGCTTTTTTTCTTCCTGTTCACTCCCCCATCCCACTGAAGGGGAAGTGAACAAGCATCAGTGGAAGTGCTTGGCTGCTGGCCAGGGTTAACCCACCACAACTGCAGAGGGGATTTTTATTTAAAATCAATACCTTTAATCAGTTCCTCTTGATAAATACATCCTGATTAATTTATCTCCATGAAATAGCCTCATCACGTGGCCAGGTTGCAGCGACAGGGAAAGACACTCACCTCCTTCTGTCCTGCATTCTTCTGCAAAACTGCAAACACTGCTTGTCGTGAGCATCCCAGCAGGAACATCGGAGTGAGGACTGGGGAGCACTCTGAGTCTGGCCTGTGGACCTTTTGCCTCTGAAGCTGCCTCTGTAGTTAGACAGTCCATATGGCACAGTCCTCCTGTTGTGAGAATCACACAGGAACCAATTAAAATTATGTTCCACCTCTTTTCTATTTTACTGAAGAGATGTGTTGACGGAAAGCAATAAATAGTGGCAGAAAAATCAAACCCTATGCTCATCTAAGTTCTCCCTGTACCAGATCATAACTTCTGCTCCATCAACTCAGGCTTTCACCAAGTTATAAATTAGCAGACAGCTCTACTGGAAGGATTAGTTGCCAGCTACACTAGTGAAAAAAAAAAATAAAATTGGAATACCTAAGAGGTGATGCAAATACATCCCCAAGTTATTGTTTATTTTACACCTTATTCCTGTGTTGTGTTGGTTTCCCCAGCCTATGCACAAAATCTGTCACATTCAGTGCCGTGGCTGGTCTGAAGTGACAGAGGAGCTGTGCTGATTTCACCAGATCAGTAACATTGTGTAGTTTTCATGTAGTTCATGGTTCTGAGTCTGATTTGCCATTAATTTTGTCATTGAAATTGAGAAAACTGTCAGCATGATTCATTTACTGCATTATGTTTGGAACATGACCCGTGGAGTTACACATGCAAGAAACTCCCAGACAATCCTCCTTGCATGGTTCTACCTTTCTGTGAGAGATCCTATTCTGTGCTGCAGCACACCAAGGAATAGTAGGGGGTACCTCTCTTTATTTCTCTGCATGATTTGCTCTTTAATGGGTTATAGTCAATATTCTTATCAGAAAAGGACATGGTTCATCAGTGCCTGCTAAAATCCCCAAAAAGAGTTGGATAGTTTGGATTGATGTCGTAAATTACTCTCTTCCAAGCTGTTAAAGAATCTCAATCAACAGCAGCTGTACTCCCCATCAAACTTCTGGAGTCTCACAAAAGTTCCTGAGGACTTGAGGAATGGGCTAAGCAAGCCACAAATCCACAAATGTTAAAAATCTGAAGAGAATCTCATGTTCAAAAGCAAGAAAGAGGAGGGGATGAGTGGAAAAAAAAAAAAAAAAAGAAAAGAAAAAGGCAGGGAAGAGGAAGTCAGAGTCAATCTAGAAAGGTTACAGAAAGGTTACAGAACAAAGCCTGAATAATGAGTCTGGAACCACTACCTTCACATAGCTCTGCTTCTTTCATTTGCTTTCATAAAAACATCATTAGGCTGCTAATGGGAAAGCTGCAAATTTTCCATTTTCCCACACACATGGTGGGCTGAAAGGTTCAGAAACATTCTTTTCCTAATCTCTGCAATAATTTTGATGCAACATCAGTACAGCTGATGCAAATCATTTATTCAAGCCTCTGCACTCGTAGTACATTTGTAGCAGTGCCCCTTGTCTTTCACAGCCTGAACCTGTGGAGTTAGGCTGACCATAAAATCATCCTGAGAGAGAGAGAAAACCACAAGCAGTACTTCTGTGTTCAGAGCCCAGGGGATGGTTTTTCTCCAGCAGGTCCTGCTCTGCCTCCATGCAGAAAATCTTCCTTATTTTCACCATTTTACTCCTATGCCGGGACACTGGGAGAGACCAAGAACACCCATATTTGTCTTAAAAGACTTTAGAACTTGATTTTGGCCTCCCTTCTCAAACCATCATTTAAAAAGCTTTTTGTTGTCTTTAGGATTAGGAGCAAGTCCCATTTTATAATTTAAGATATATACTGACATCTGCTTTACAATAATGAATGTGAAATGGCTAATGTAGGGAACTTCTGACATAAATAATTGCTCCATGTTCGTATTTTTTTTTACACATTCATGTTTTTTATGAAGTAAGAACTGGTATTTAAAGGCAGGAGTGGGGGAAAGTTCCTTTATTTTTAACAGCGGCAAACCCTCTATGAAAACTGTCTGGTAAAATTCTGTTATTTAACTTCCTGCTCCAACTGAGACTGAAATGGAAAGATGAATTTTGTGTGTTTTAGACAATGTGAGAGCCCTGTTTAATGACAGATAGTTTGCCAGGGCATAAAGAAGCTTCTTGCAGCTTTTGCAGATGTCATCCTACATTATGCTAATGAGGCATAAAACACTGTAATATGCTATTCTCATTATTTAAAGTGGTTCCTTGTTCAAAAGTTCACCCTTTCAAAATATGATACTGGGCTTTTTTACTCTAAAGTTAAGTTTTACCAAAAGCTCTGTGGGACTGAGTCACAGTTTGCCCTGAATCAGAGGCTCTGCCTGAATAGCCAGAGAGAAAGAAGGGCATGAGCTTTATTCTTAATTGCTGCAATTGGAAAATTAATGGACCAACCAGAATTGTCATCAGCTTTCGATTTTACCTCAATCCATCAGTATGTGAACTCCAGTGATTGAGGAAAAGGCCCATTACCAATCTGCTGCCTTTCCTAAGAGACAGTAAATTCCAGCAAACAGGGAGGAGGGTAGGATGTAATTATAATTACAAGTGATAAGAGCCATGATTCACAGCCTTAAGCAAAGCAGGAAAGTGATATTTTAGATACTTCTTCTGATCTTTCTAATTAAGTACATTATGCTTCATAGCTTAGAAAATGTAGTCAAGGCTACTTCATTCTCAGTGGACCAGCAGCATGTGCCAATACAATGACATTTTCAAGTGTTTTAAGTTTCAAAGACTTTTAACCAGAATTAAGTGAAGTTTTTGTGTAAGGTAATGTGCAGATTTGCCAATCAGAGATAGAAATACAATAATCCAAATATGCCTGGTTTTGGCTTCTAATCCAAAAATTCAAACTCAAACAAGGTTCACTTCAAAAGCAACCCAAAGTCTTTCCAACAACAATCACAAAGAGTTTGATGAATTGTATATGCACAGGGCACTTTGTGTCCCCCCAGTGAAGATAAGGATCAGCTGGAGTGGGGCAGAGGCAGAACTGGGGGATCCTGAACTACCAGTTCCTTACACTGTCTTTTATGACCCAGTCCCTGGACAAAGTCCTGGCTAAGCCATTTACTAATATTTTTGGAAATTTCTCTGCAGCATCCACAGGTTTTTAATTAATTCCTTTTGTTTAAGATTTACATTTCACAAGAAAATTTGAATTCTTGACTTTTAACTCAGTATGCAGCATTTCTTCCTTTAGGAGAATAAAATTCTCCTGAAGTAAACTGATATGAGTTTAAGATATATTTACAGCTAAGGTGTGCTGTGAGTCCTTTATGCCTTTCTTCTCTACAAAGTGGAGAATAAGCAAACCTAGACATTTCTGAATCAGCCTTTCCAAGGTACTTCTTTGAACTGGCATCTGACTGGCAACATCCAAATCTGTGATTTCTGAGGCATTACACTCTTTTGGGAGGTTCACTATGATTACTCCAGCCAGCCAATGGGTGCACAAAGGTCTGCATGCTCAGTTCTTTAGAATTTTCTAACAAAGAGAAGGTCTGAGTTTAAGGAAATCGTTGCTTCTTCAGTATAAGCTATTTGTTCTTTACTCTGTATGCAAAAAAAAATCCCCAGCAAAACCATCACAAGCTCTCCAGTACTTGTAATTATTCCATGTGTTGTAATTGTGATTAGTCAATGCAACAGATAATGAAACAAAGATAATCTCATGTATAACAGAGCAGCACAGGACTAATCCAAGCACAGTGTGTTCTTGTCAGATTGGATATCAGAGGCTGAAATAACCTAGATTATTTGTGTACTTCGTGTGCACAAAACACAATCAGAAAAGCTCTCCCCCTAAGAGCCAGCTAGCTCTTCCAGCTAGGAAGGTTTTGCAATTAAATTAACAGAAATAGGCATTTGTTTGTTGAAAAAAAAAGAGGGGAAGTACCAAGCAATTGGTACCAAGTGATTTTTCCACTGAACAGCCATTCTGAAACAGTGAAAATCTTCCACAGAAGAAAACTGCCTGTTGAAGGATTAATACCTTCAGGTTGAATTGGGAATTAAGATTTGCCTGAATCCTGCTGTCCCCCACTCACAATGAAGGCTCAGAATTCAGACAGACAAATCCAATTGGTTTATTTTAATTTTATAACATGTGGCTGAGTTTCTCATGCTATGTTATAATTGATCTATGAGCTGCTATTATCTTCTACTTTCCCAGCCACTTAAACACAGCAGATACCTCCAGGGCACTGGAGAGTTTCAGCCAAAACAAAGGGATGAGGGGGTTGCAGCAACCATCTTAGATGCTGTGATTTCAGGATTCAGCCAATATATTTTCTGGCACACATCCAGGCCAGCAAGGCTCCCAACAGACTCCAGTGTTTTCAGACAATCCCAAAATATAAGGGTTCCCTGTAAGGACCACTGAGAGTAAAGGAAGCAAAATTTACCATCCTCCTAGTGAGAGAAAATGTCCCTAGAATGAAGGATGATGCTTGGGGGAAATAACAGATATTTCTGTGTATATTTTAATATAAAGGCCCTGCAGTAGCACTGTGTAGCTTTACAGATGAAGAGATCATTGGCTGCTCTGGAAGTTGGCTCCAGCTCTTCCCATAACAGGCGTGGGTTTTTAGGAGCTCACAATAGAGGCACCTCCCATATTAACCCATTCTTATCATTATCCAAGGAGTAAAACATCTCCAAAGGATGCCTGACTTGTTGCTTTGGTCACCCTCTCCATATTCTCAGAAGCTGCACTTTTTCTGAGTAGTTTTTTGAAGTTAAAGCTACTTTCAGATGAAACAACTTTTATCCTTTATAGCCACACCTTTCTTTCCCACATCCTCAATTTAGTAGTGCTCAGTGTTCCTAGATACTGAACAGGCTCCTATTATCCAAAACATGCACCTCCATGACCTTGCTGTCTTATCCTTTAATTAATGCTTGCTAATTTGCGAGGATGCCAATTAGTTTTAACTCATTAATTACAGCTAACTTAGGTAATGTAATAAGCCAAGGATTGCACACATCTGCTTCACCGCTCAGGTTCACTGACCACGTGAGTTCTTTGATTTTCCTCCCCCTGGGGCTTCTTGGTACCCAGGTCAGGCACGGTGAGAATCTGGAGGCTGTTTATCACTCTCCATCCTCCTCCTGTAGCTGTCAAAGGGGTGTTACAGGTTCTGTTTCTCAAACATGGTCAGAAC